ACACTGGGAGCGGGACAGAAGGAGGAAGCCCTTTAGCTAAGAGCTCTGTCCAGACAAGGGCTAATTCCTTTAGCATAGTCTGGGCATTTTGCCAAAAATAATAAAACAACTGGAAAATATGCAGCTTTTGAAGACACAAAGGCTCACTGGGATGCTGGCCACATACTTGGAGCTGTGTCTGCTTAGAGCTACGTCCACATATATATTTCTACCTTCTCTGAATTTTGTGTTTATGGAGTGTCGGGGCTTGGGATGGGAGTTCTAAGCCCAAGGAAATGGCACATGAGGGCTAGAGAATAAGCAGAGGCAGCCCTGAGATCCTGAACAACTAATCAGCTGAAGATGAGCAATACTACAGAGCCTTCTTGCCTGTTGTTTGAGCACAGCTGGGGGAGGTGAAGGAGACTGAGCTAATAAGTCAACAGATACTACAGAGTCAATAAAGTCCCAAAAGATTGAGGAAATCAAGATGCAACAAGAGAGCTGCTGACCTAGATGGTTGAGTCCAATTTGTGAAAGATCACTTTTTGCCAGGTAGCATCTATTAATACCAGGTAGAAGGCAGGGCCCAGGGGGAGTTGAGAAAGGAGGGTGTGGTCTGTCAGATGGCACATAATGTGGAGGAGGACTCGGAGCAGCAGGTGCTTTTTGTTCACTGTTGTGAGCTGCGCCCCATCACCCTTTAGAAAGCTATTTGAACTGTGGGATGCATCTGTGCTATACAGAGCTGCCACCCGCTATTAGTGACCTTCCAGTTCTTTCAGAGCATCAATCTGTTTGTAACTGCTTTATTTACATTATCTGTTCCAATCCTTAGCCCAATTAAAACTGGCAGCTGCTCCAGAACAAATGCCACACCTGCTTTGCTCCCCTCTTGGATCCTTGGTTCTAGAACAGCGCTCAATGGACATGTGATGAACGGCTCTCAAGAGCACTATAGGAACCGATGAGGAAAATTTCCAAACCTAGTTGGGTTGTCTTTAACACACACACTCTTGTCTGAATGACAAGGCCACCTTGGGCATGTGGGTAGGGCTGCAAGCTTCTCCAGAGGAGTCTTCTGGAGAAGGAAAGCTTTAAAAAGAAAATGCCAAAGAACCATCTGCCAGACAGCCTGATGGGGCACAAGGGGAACACTGTCAAGTGCTAGCACAGTTGCTCCTCTCCTTACCATGGAATTACATTTCAAGAGACCCATTGCAAGTTGAAAATAGAATAAATCAAAAATGTATTTAGTACACATAGTCTTCCGAACTTCATAGCTTAGCAACACAGTCCCCTTGTGATTGTCGGGCTGAGTGGGAACTGGGGCTCCGGCTCCTGGCTGCCCAGTGTGGAAGAGGACTATATCTCCTATTGATAGTTCAGGAAAAGATCCAAATGTAAAATTCAAAATATGGTTTTTATGGAATGCCCATTGTTATTGTGCTATTGTAAAGTCAAAAAATCATTAAGTCAAGCCATCGTCACCCAGGGACCATGGGTAGGTCATCTTGGGGGCATGGAGGGAGTGCAAAGGAAGACCAGCAGATACTGAAGATACATGAAGTTTCAGCCAGGGTAAAAGATGAATTAGAAAGAAACCATAAATCCAAGTCCTAGGAAGGAATAGGAAGAACGCTCTTTCCTTTAATCAGATTCTAGTTAACCTGAAAACCTTCCACAGTGTTGGTGTAAGAAAGCTCTGCAGCAGAAGCCTCAGTTAGAGGTAAACTTACCTTATAAACTGACACCTTAGATAGAAAACCTTTGCCTTGGCCTTTGAGGGACTCTAGATGTCTGTTGTCTGATTTATCTTCAGATGCAAGGACCACTGATAAGCTTCAGTAATTGTCTGAAATCTTAAAACCAAAGCTATCTGCTCCCTGATCTTATTTTGAAACAGTTACAACATAGCCATCCTTAGTTAATTCATAAAAACAAGAGCACAGAGAGCTTGCCACTGTGTGCATTTCCCTGGGGCCACACTGGTCAGGTGTGTAGCTAGTGCTCTCCTGTGACTGTGTCCACCGCTGCTAGAATCTTGCAGCTGGTTCTGCCTGGCCCAACTTTAACTGTTACATAGGCCTCCAGAATATGGGATATGTTGGTGGGGAAGAGCTTTCCTTAGCTATCTCTTGTTATTGTCATCTGCAGTTTATAGCTGAGAACTATCAGCATTTTAGATACTGATCCAAATGTTGTGAGAATTAAGTGAGGTGATATATTGGTGCTTAGGCCCTTATGCTATACCTAGAACACACAATTAAATGCTGTCATGGGTTTAAGAAAGACTAAGTACAAATCACTGATACTGGAACTCATCCACGGATGGCAAGAGTATAAAATGGTACAATCACTTTGGAAAACTGTTTGCCCAGATCTGTTAAAGTCAAATATAGACCTATCCTACAATGCAGCAATTGCACTCCGAGGTATATAACCTAAAGAAAAGAAAGTCCACCAAAGAGCATGTGCAAGAATATTAATAGCTGTGATGTTCACAATAGCCCCAAACTGGAAATGACTAAAATGTCCATCAAGTAGAATAGTTAAACTGTGATGTAGTCACATAAAATATATAATACACACACACACACAATTAAAATGAAGAAACTGCTGCAACCTCACAATGATGTGGGTAATTTTCACAAGGATAATGTTGAGCAAAAGAAGCCAGACACAAAGGGTACAACAGTATGATCCCATTTATGAAAATCTCAAAAATGAACTGATCTATAATGCTGGAAGTCAAAAGAGTGGTTATGTTGTGGGGGATAGATGGTGACTAGGAATGGGCACAAGGAGGACTTCTGGGGCATTAATGTTCTGTCTTCATCTGGATGTGTCACCTTACAACAATTCACTGAATGTATGACTGGTGCATTTTGTGTGTGGTATGCATGATAGACTGCGTTATTGCTCCTAATCTTTCATTCTCCTTACCTCTCTCTTTGCTACATTAATGTTGGGCTGGTCTATTTGACTTGCTTTGACTAGTGTTTGTGGATATGATAGGAACAGAGACATGAGATGGGTTCAGGTCTTTGGCTTTGCCCCCTTGAGTTTTCATCAGAGTTACGAGAAAAATATGCCCTAGAGAGAGATTGTGCCCTGGTATAATTTCCAGAATAATGCACATGGAACAGACTGAGCCAGACCTGGAAGCTAAAGTCAGACTTAATCCATTTAAGTTGCAGCTGACCATGAGGGAGGGAGGAAAGGTGGTTGTTTAAGCCACTGAATGTTGACAGGCTTTGTTACACAGCATGACATACTGTTAGTAGTTAACTGATACATTATTGTTCTTAAAAAAAAATACTTTAAGATCTTATGTTCGACCTTACTAATATTCAACTTTCTCACTGTAAAGTTATGTCACCCATCTAGCACTTCTACAGCTATGTCCGGGTCCTGTATTCAATCACACACTCAAATAAACCTGTGGCTGAAACCCTGCAGGGGCTGGCTCTGCCTGACCCTACTTTAACTGCCACACAGGCTCCCAGAATCCCTAGCCCACAAAATGGGAATGCTGCTTGCTTCACCATGCTCTTGGGAAGATTTAATGAGCCAGTTAACCTAAAAGTACTTTCTAATATACAAAATACAACTTTGACATGATGGATGAGGGCAGAAAGTAATGTGAGGAAATATAATACATGGATCATGACATCCACCAGGCGATTCTGCCTCCTCCCTGCTGAGGGCCATCCTGGCTTAAAGAGTGGGGTCATGTGTGTGGGGAAGAGGCTAGGGGACAAATGTCTGGGCCTGCATTAGAACTGTCACCAAATTTCTGAGCGTGGTTCTCAGACCCAGAATGCCTTGAGAGATGGCAAAGTGATCAGGTCTACAGAAGGCCAGATTTGCAGAGGCAAAGCGGACAATAAAGGACCCTAGGAAGCCACTGTTGTGCTCAGAATTAACTCCCATTGCCTTCACAGTGTCTGAAGGGCTCCAGTGTTCCTTTTATGGGTTGTGGTGTCACATATTGAACTATCCTTTGTTAAACTGCACTGCCCTTGTTATATACATCTTTGTTGGTAACCGCAGGCCCATCTCTTGACTCATTTTAGTAATTTTATTTAGACTATGTGGATAAGGAACCTGAGATTCAGAGAGATTGATTTTTGCCAGGCTCCTTAGTTAATGAATATTAGGCTGAAGTGGCAAGAAGTTTTTGACCAAAGATTTAGACAAGCAGCTCACTGATGTGAGCAAGAATTCTATCATTCGACAGCAAACTGTGCCTTCAGAAAACGGGTGGCATGGGCCTGAAGGGATAGGACTAGTGAGTTTTAGCAGGAGAGCGGAGAAGATGAGGCATAGGGAAGATGGAATTTGGAGGGAGGCTAGAAGGAGGAGGGGGAGGAAGAAACTGCAGCCCCTTGAGCCTGGCCTACCATCAGGATTCTGGCCTGTGCCCTGTCACACCCACGGGAGGACCTGATGGTGGCAGGAGGAACACTTCTCAACAACAACTCTGGGTGAAAAAGGTTTAGAAAGGATGCCAGCCAACTTCAGGGATACCAGAGCCCTGCCTCCTTTCCAACAGCAGCATTTTGGAGTGATGCCATCACACATTCTAATGAGGACCATCTTTGGGGAAACTTCCACTGCCCACCTGGCTGGAAGGTGTGTGGTCACTACCACACTGGTCTTATACCTTCATCCTCTCCCTGTTCCCTACCCTGCCAACCTGAGACTGGCCTGTTGCCTGGACACAGGCTGCCTGGACACGGGCTGCCCTAGAGAAGAAGTCACTTGAACAAAGCGGTGCTTAAACACAACACTTCTTTTAGAGCACAAATATCAAGGACCCATTTCTGCTGTTTCAACAAAAATGGCAACCCTCCAGGCAGAGGTTGGAGTGAGGTTTACAGTAATTTTATAGGGAAAGGGTGGAGAATATCTATTGCTGAGGTGCTCCTTCCCTGGACAGTCTGGGTGGTCCTGACCTAGAGCAAGTTCCACCTCTCTTCTCCAGTCACGAGCCGATTCTGTGGTTGCAGCCCTACCTCTGTGGTCCAAAGGCCATTCTGTTTCTGGGTCAAAGGGCCTGAGCTGAGGCTCTGGGAATTCTGGCACTGGGTCCCACAGTTCATCATCTTCTCTTGGTTGGATATTCCACCTGGGGCTGTAGGTCGGGGAACACCATTAGAGGACGGTCCATCTTCCAGCACACCTGAGGAGGTAAGCAGAGGGTGGCACCAGAGGCTTTTACATGGCAGTTATTGTAAACAATTCCAAATTTAGGAGAAAGAGTTTAAAAAAAGAAAGGAAAAAAAAGTCACCAGAAATCCCACCATGCAGAATTGTCCTTTTCTATAAGAATGTGTTCTTTTTTTAATAAAAATAATTTTGTGACCTGAAATTTTCACTTGAGACATTGATTTCCCATATCATGAACTATTCAGCCATATTATTTTCACACTTATGTTGTAAGGATGTATCACCATTATTTAACTAGTCTCTTCTGATTGAATATTTGTTTCCCCTTTTTAATAATAAATGTTACTGGGATGAAACTCCTTGTGGTTAAAGTCATTCTAAAAATACTTTTAAAGATTCTCTGCTGCTTTTTAAAAATTCTTTATTTCTTGAGCCAAGTTCTTGCTAAATTGTTTAGGGCTTCACCAAATTGCTGAGGTTGGTCTTGAGCTTGTGATCCTCTGGCCTCCGCCTTCTGAGTCACTGGGATTACAGGCACGAGCCACAACACCTGGTTAAAGCTCTATTCTTAATTCCTTGGTATAAATAGCTAGAAGAGAGATTACTGATTTGAAAGTGATATAGATATTATTTCAATAACTCCATCTCAGTGTTGAACTACACACAAGTGCCTCCCATAACAAATGACAAGAAATTAAAGAAATTTAAACAAATAGCCTCACTGAAAAGCAAGCAGAAGATGACATTGAGGAATTCATGAAAGATGAAAAGTATCTGATTGGGAAGACAAAAGGGCCTAGAAAGCATGAGAGAGGCGCTAAGTGGACAGAGGTCCTGCAGTAGCCACTGAGAAGTAGGAGCAGCCAGGTGGGGGGCACAGGCTACTCCACCAGCAAGATGACAGTGAGGTGCTTGATTTAGAAGGGCTGTGCACTCTGTGGCATTGAATTTCACTTAACAAAACTTGAATTCAAAGACAAAATTACTAAGAACTTTAAGATGCTCTTGCAGAACATCAAATCTAAGTCAGGGCCTCTGCTAAGCCCTGCGGGGGTGGGTGTCCCTGTGCAGCTGCGTTACACATTCATGAAGTCAGCCAGGCTGAGGCAGATCTGGTGTGGCCTAGAAGCAAATGGCTAGTCCTTCCCTGTCAGCAGCCCCTCCATTCCTAGGGGCTTCTATAAACAGACTAAACATCTCTCATTTGTCTGGCGTTTTCACTTTTCATTGATGGCTAAACCAAAATTATAACTTATTTTTTTAAACCTCCGAATCCAAGAATTTATATCCTACTTTTATTTATTTTGATTGAACCCATGGATACTTTACTCTGAACCACATCTCCAGCCCTTATTTTTTATTTTGAGATAGGGCCTCACTAAATTGCTGAGGCTAGCTTTGAAGTTGTAATCCTCCAGCCTCAGCTTCCTGAACTGCTGGGATTACAGATGTGTGCCACCATGACTGGCTGTGCTACTTTTAGAGGACATAGTTTTTTTTTTTTGTTTTGTTTTTGTTTTTTTTAGCTTAAGGAGTATATTTAAAATTTTTTAAAAAAATTTAATTTCCTTCAGCTCTAAATAGTCTTTATGGCAAAGCAGCATATTTTTGGAATGGCATATTCTGGGCTCCTACACAGAGCATATATCTCTGGATGATGAGGGAAAAATTATTTTTCTCTTGTATTCTGTATTTTGCAAGTTTTCTAAGATTGAGTCTTAAAACAAAAACCTAGGAAATACAGTTTAAATCTGTGCAGCAAATACCTGGTTGGTTGCAGGCAGAAGTAATGGTTAATGACCCCATAATCCTGACCCCATGGGGTGACCTCTTACAACACCGAGTAGATAACCCCTGCTCATTGGATGGCAGTGCTGGTCCCTGAGTGGGCCCTATTTTTCTATTTGTCAGAGTTTTCTGCTTATTAGGCTCACTATGCTAGTGGCTTAGCACTTGGCTGATTGCTGATTCCTAAATCAAGAATGTAACTAATGTGGCTATTGAGAGGGGCATTAGGAGATGAGGCAGATGGTACTGTGCCAGAAATAGGTGTGCATTGTGCATGGTGCCAGACAACTGTTAGAACCTTTCTGCATGTTGTGTCGTTTCATCTTTATAGGGGCCCCGTGAAATGGGAATCATTATTCAATCTCTTCATTGTCCCACATTCTGGGCTCCATCTGCAAGTCTACTGTATACTACCTCTCTCAAGCCAGGGAGGTGGGAGAATCACCTTTATTTTACAGGCAAAGCCATCCCCCCATAATTTCTGATTCAAAAGGGACTCGGGAATATTAATTTTTAAAAGTCCTCTGCCCATCCAGAGATTCTGATATGGGAGATTCTAAAGACTGCAAAGTCTTGTTTACATTATATACAGATCTATCTATATCCATATCTATGTGCGACAGTTGATACTTATGCTAATTTTGAGGATTGCATATACAGTCTCATCCATATTTTTTCCACAGTGAATCTTATTAGCAGTAAATTAAGAGACATTTGTGTGCCCCTGGAATGTGTCTTTTTTGACACCCTCCACAAAATTTTTATCCCATCTAGGAGAGAAGCCAAATCCCTGACTTTGCCAAAAGATGGGAAACAGCTGTGTCCAAAGCTTGCTGATAAATTGCAACCAGTGACTTCTTGCCAAAGCTGCCTGCTATTTTTGAAGTGGAACTGGGCAGAAGGGCAGAGTATAGAAATTAAAAATGATAGTTGGGAGCCCCATGGGGAGCAGGTTTTCTCCTTGACCCTACCACCTGGCTGTCCTTTGAGAAGATGATCACAGTCTGTCCAGAATCGTCAAAAACTACCTGCCAGGCATTCCATTCAATGACAGAAAACCAAAGTATAAGACATTAGGAGATTCTTCTCAAATAGATTGCTAAAGTCATATCAGATGAGATTCTGGTTCATCAAACTGTTTGGGCTCAGGTCCAAAACACATGGCTGATGATAATTTTGTCTGAATTAATGTATAAATTGAGACTAGTTAACTACTTAGAATTTGTCTCCTCTTTCAAAATGAACTAGAATAAAAAGGTCTGTCATTTCTTCAATCTGAATAATCATCAGCAGCATACTATAATATGATATGAACACTTTTGCATAGCTATCATGAAAATATTCTTAGAAAATACAAGAGCTTTACATTTATGGTCAATTGTCTTTGGGAAAAATAATTTGGACAAAATAATGGGGAAAGAACTTTTTCAACAGATGTGCTAGAATAACTGGGTATCTTCATGCCAAAGAATGAACTCCCCTACCTCACACCATACACAAAAATTAAAATGAATCAAATATCTAAATGTAAGTGCTTAAGGTATAAAATGCTTTTAAAAAACATAGGTACAAATCTTCAAGATTTTGGATTAGGAAATGGTTTCTTAGAAATGATCTCCAAATCATAAGCTACAATGACAAAAAATAGAGATACTGGACATCATCAAACTTGGAAAATTTTGTGCTTCAAAGGGCACCATGAAGAAAGCGAAAAGATAATTTATGGAATGAAAGAGAATTTTTGAAAATTGTTTACCTGATAAGGAACTCTTACTTTCCAAGAACTCTTGCCACTCATTGAAAAAGTTAACCCCATTAAAGCGTGAGCAAATGATCTTAATAAACATTTCTCCAAAGAATATATGCAACTTACTAATAAACCTGGGAAAAGATGAACAGCTTCATCAGGTATCAGAAAAATGCATATCCAAAGCCAAGAGGAGATAGCACATAATTTACAGCCACTAAAATGGCTATAATAAAAAATATGTTGATGAAGAGATGGAGAATTTCAAACCCTCCTACACTGCTGGTGGGAATGTAAAGTGGTGCAGCTGCTTTGAGTCTAGCAGGTACTCATAATGGTTAGACAGTTACCATGATGCACAGTGGCACTCCTAGGTTTATACCCAAGAGGAATGAAAACCTCTGTCCATACAAAGACTTGGCCATGAATGTTCACATAGAAGCATTATTTAAATAGCCAAAAAGTAGAAACAAAATATTTATCATGGATGGGCAAATATTATCAGGCAATACAAAAAGTGAAGTAACAACACATAATACTGATGAAACTTGAAAACATTATGCCAAATGAAATTTCAGTTATAGAAAATTCATTTTATATATATTATGCTTATGCCTTATAAGTTGTTCACAAATGGGTAAATCTATAGATAGAAAAGTGAGTTGATGATTGACCAGGGATGGGGGTTTTGGAGGAAACAAGTGACTCTTAATAGGTGTGGGATTTCTTTCCAAGGTGCTGAAAATGTTTTAAAATCGATTGGGGGGAGGTTGCACAGCCCTAACCATTTTTAAAAAAAAAAATCATTTAATTGTATGCTTTAAATAGGTCAATTGTATAGTATGTGAATTATAGCTCAACAAAGCTAGTATTTTTTAAACGGTGAGCAACACGTTTTGGAATGTTTTATTGACTGAAGAAAACAAAGAAACATGTTTGGGCTTGAACAGAAGTGATTGGAGAAGAGACCAACTTGTGAACTTGTACAGCCCTTAAGGGCCCTTGCAGTACTAGCAACAGCCCCCTAAGGCTATGGGTCCTGATCCAGGAGGGCATTGGAAACCTCTGTTCCCTGAGATGAATCACCAGCTAGTTACATCTGCCCTTGGTCACAAGAGTTGGTTTCGAAATGGCTTCCCTATAGTGCCTCAGTGGCAGATGAGGACACCTGCCGGAGTAACAGCTGGAACTGAGGACAGTGGGCAGAAGCAAGGAGAAGCCTGTCTATGTGAAATCCAGCCTGAATTCGTCCAAGAGCTGCCCAGGAGATAAGCTAACCAACTGGGAGATGCCAAGAGGGAAAGTCAGAACCTCACTTTCCTTCTCTCTGCTGCTGTCCTTGGAACCGTCAGTCTTCTCCAAAGCTTCACTTACTTCCCTCCCTCCCTTTGATCTCTCAGTGACAACTCCCCTTTGCAAGCATCCCTTCTGCCTCAAGATCCCCACAGCGCAGGTTCTTGGGGGCAGGTACTCAACCA